GTTTTAAAGGAGTGCAGCCATTCTTTCCGAGGCCTCTTTATTGCTCTAGTTGACCCACTTGATGAGTATGGATTTCATGAGGTCTTTTTCAGCATTTGAACTATAAAAGGTTCAGAATGACACCACCCCTTATAGACAAAAGATAACCTTGCCCTTTGAATATATTGATTCTTTATTAACTAGGCTGTTTAATGCAATGAAATGAGGCATTAGATTGAAGCCTATTTCGAGTGCTTTGAATAATCTTTAAAAGCTTGAAAGACTTTAAAAAGCTGCGCTGCAATAATTGGCATATACTCTTAGAGATTCTATTCCTTCGTTTTGATTAAGGAAATTTTATCATCTTCCTATGTCTAAACTCACTATAGGCTGACACGTATTTTCTCGCCAGGACTATTACCATGTTACAGACGGGGATGTGTCGTGGGGCGTGGATTGCTCTAGGACTTGCCATTCCCAGCACAAAATATATGGGTTTCCTTCTTTTGTGTTTTCTTTGCACTGAAACTTAGACGAACCGTTTAAGATGCTCATTATTCAAACCTTTGAAATAAACCTAAAAGGAAAAGCGCCGGTAGGCATCATGCAGACTTTCATCCCGATAAACCATCTTATATTTTTAGTGGGATGCATCTGCTTATGCCACCAGTTAAACATGATACACAGATACATACTCAAAGTGGAACAATTGTCAATGCATAATCGTAATAATAATAATCCAAAGCGCTCTCTGTTTTTAACATCTGTTTTCATCAAACATAAAAACTGTGGAAATATTGGAGAAGAAAGGAAGCACGGTTAAATATCCCGGTTTTCCTCCTTTGTGAATGGTGACTACCGGCAAACCGCACCGTCTCACCACGCTCCATCACTTAAACTGCTGAAACACGGGGCAGTGTCATCTGGCACTATATACACACACACAAGTACATACATTTACTTTGGAGCTCGGAGTTCCTCAGTGCCCTCTCGAAGTTGTCAGCAGCCCTGTGATTAATGACAGGACAACACTCACATAACCAGCTCCCCTGCTTTACCGGGACGGGCGCTCGCGTCGCTCTGCCGGCCGCGCACGCAGCCAGACCCAAATTCCCGCACAAACGCCCTTTTTCTGGTGGCTCTGGTCACACACCACGATGCAGGTGCACGCTTGGCACCTGGGGTAGGGAACACAGACCTGTACTTCAGGCTTTTTCGTTGTAACTGTCTCTCACCAAACCACCCTCCGACGAGGAGGCTGAGTCATGCCCACCTCGCTATATTTGTATTTCAGTTCCATTATCTGCACATCGCACGTCCTATGGTCCAGAGGACGAAATATTTGTGTTCACTATTATAATTAGCAAAAGCATTTGCTTCCTTATCAGCGTTTAAAAGACGGGTACGTCGACCTTCGGTGTCAAACCGCTGCGTGGAAAATTTGGGTTGTGCTGTGTTTAAAATAACTTTTCCTGTTTACAGACTTTGACAATGCCACATTAAAACAGAAGAAATAAAAATTTACTCTACTGTTACCTTTCCTTTACAAAAAGGCTGTCCGAAGCAGAGTTTTGGTTAAACACTTCACCAAGGCTGAGCGACAAGTCATTGCCGGGCTGCGGAGCAGAGGTCTCCTTCCTCATCATCCTCGGGGACTGCCTGGGCCGGCTGTCCGGGGGCACCGCAAAGCCCACGTCAAGGATTGCGCTTTTCCTTCACCGAGACATAACTTTGAATTCTGATGTTGAGAAATGAAACCCCCAGTGTTGCGTTTCTTTGTTTTGTGTTTAGTCACTTTTTTAATAATCAAACCAGATAAAATTACTAAAAATGAAATTCACAGACAAGAAATACTTTAATTAAATATTGTGTAAAATGAACATTTTTTTTTTATACAGTTAAATATATGAAAAAATGTACAGATAAAACAATCTTATTGTAGGGTCTTTAACAGTAAAATCTACCATTTAGTGAAGCTTTCCGTCTGGAGACAATGAAGCAATGAGTGCATTGACTAAGTAATCTAAAACACAAACAGATTGCATTTATGAAGAAACTTGCAAACTTTCTTAACATGTACACGTGACCTCTTCTTTAGAGCAAAACCTTAGACAAAATATAACGGAGGCAATTCAGTTCCAAAGTGACTTCTCAGGCTTTTCCACTTAGCTAAGCCTTATTCGTTATCACAAAGGAAATGCACGTGGCATTTATCAGCTGTGATACGCTGTATCGTTCTTTTAAACCCTTTAATAAACGCTTTACTAAAATGTGCATTTTTTTTGCCCAGAAAGGAAAAAAAAAAAAAAAAAAAAAAAAAAAAAAAAAAA